TGGCTGAAAGCAACCATGTCAGGTCAAACAGTCCCCAGTGCACGTGAGTCTGACAATTTTCCAAGGGCCTTTACATTTACCTGACCAAGTTCTTGGTCTTGATCCTGGGGGCCTTCACTCCTCCCCCAATGATGGAGGAGCCCGTAATATAGATGCCCCTGGGGAAAGGGTAAGAAATGAGTGAACAGAGCCCCAGCTGTCACTACCCTCAAGATGACTAAGAACTCAGTGACATTCCCCCGCCCCCCCCCCCCTTTCCCCGGCCTCACAACCCCAACACTCACCAGGCTGCCCCAACCACAGACAGGGAGATAGCTAAACCAATTCCCAGGTTCGACCACATGAAGGGGGATGTCTCAGTAAGGAACCTGGTGTTGGGGCAGGAAGAAGAGCAATTCAGTCCTGGGGAAGGGCGCACAAATACCTAGCCGTCCTCCTTGCCCCCCAACCACAAGTCCTGAATGCTGAAACAATAGACTTAATATCTCTCAAAGATCCACATCCCAGCAGCTGGGGTAGGGGGATGAGGGGGAACATCGGGAGGGGAACCAGAGGCTGCAGAGGACACTCTAGGGGAATCCTCTCCTGGCCCTCCCTTACCATGCCACATCAAATCGGAAGCCCAAGTCAAAGATGGTGTAGCAGATTCCTGCAGCAGTAAGAAAAACGGGTTATAGGCTGCTCTCTCAGGAACAGTTCCTCTACCGAGAGAAGGCCACCTTCCTAAAGGCCTGTCTACACCCAAGTCAAGGGGGAATCTTCAGGACAGAGTGGGCCTCCATTTCCCACCATTCCCCGCAGTGACACCATCTCCCAGACCGAGCCCCTCCGCAGACACACCACCGAGCAGGCCTGAACACCCTTAAGGAAGGGAGGGAGGGAGGGAGCAAGCGAGAGCCCTAGCCAATCCCACCAGATCCTGCCGGCCGAGCCAGAACCGCTGTTTACCCAACAAGCTGGGGGTGGTGGAGCCTACGACCAAGAAAAGAGGAACTGGAGAAGCTGGCTCGTGACCCAAGAGGGCCGGTCAGGAGCAAGACAGGGAAGGCAGCACTGGGGGATGGGGGGGTAAGATGCTAACGCCAGAAAGATTACTATTGCTCTTCCCGCCCCCTCCCAGCAGCTGGGGATCCGAGTCTCCTCTGCGGGGTCAGAGGACTTGTCAAGCGTGAAACAAGTCCCGAAGCCCGGGATGCGGAGCCCACACTTGGGCCCCGCATCCTGGCACCCCACTTCTCCGCTTGACTCCAGTAGGGCCAGCACAGGCCCGGATCCACCCCGACCCTGCCAGGGTCTGGCCTCACCCACGACAAGCATGGAGGCCCAGAAGGCCACGGAGACGCCGGTGTACAGCAGCGCGAGCCCCGTCATAGCGACAACAAGGGCGGGGGTCAGGTCGGTGGAGCCAGAGCTAAACCCGCGTTCCCGTGTCCACCGTCCGTCCCGCAGTCTGTGTCACCGCCCCAAAGCGTCACCTGACATACACACGTGAGACGCCAGCGCCACGTGACCCCACGCCGGGGCCGGCCCTGCTCGAATATGGCGACCCCGGAACTGCAGAACGCTGAGGATTGTGGTTGTTGTAGGAACCCGCTTTGGAGACGGGCTAGTATTTCCCCTCCTTGTTTGGGCTATGGCGGCCTTCTTACCGAATACCTCGACCTCTGGCGGGTCCTCTTCACGTTTCTCCATGTCCGCTCTTTCTCAACCCCGGCGCCCCACCAGTATTGCTCGGAAGCCTCCCGAGTGTGGCCATCAAGCCACTGCTGATCCTTCTTACTGCTTTTGCCTCCACTCCGTCTTTAGTCACTACGTTCTACTCAATTCTATGAAGGTGCCTGCTCTTTCTCAGTGTGTTTGAACTGTTCTCTGCTGGAAACACTCCTCTTCGTGCTCACCCTATTGTCCCGCTAACGTCTAATGGTCCTGGGAAATCATTCCTCCCCCAGGACATTTCTCTAACCTAGAGGCTGCGTATGCAGGACTCGGGAGATCCTTATAAAACTTATCTACAGAAACTTCTGGAGTTCAAACTTCCAGCTGCTCCTCGGAAACTAAACAGGGTCGCTATGAGTCAGAACCAACTCGATGGCACTTAACAACAACACAATAGAAACTCCTGGTGTGAAGCTACAGGATCTGCCCTGGACTGTAAGCCACAGGTCAGCAGTTCAAACCCACTAGCTGCTCCTTTGGAAATTCTATACCGAGCCGCTAAGAATCAACGGAATCGACAGCACTTAACGTAGAAACTAGGTCATGTCTCTCCCCTGTTTAAAATGCCCCCAATGGCTAGGCCTCATGTGATGATGCTACCCATAACCTTAACTCCACTCCATTCCCCGCCCCCCCACCTGCCCCCCCACCCCCACCCCCGCCTCCAACGCTCATTGACCATATCCCCATCTCAAAGCCTTTGCACTTGATCTGCTTTTCTTATTCAGGTAGCTCACTCTGTAACTTCCTTCCGATCTTTGTTCAATCATAGCTTTCTCCAAACGCCCTTCCCTGACCATCCTGTTCAATGATACACTCCTTATTCTCCTTCCCATATTTGTACAGGTGGGCTTCAAATAGTTTGTGGGAAAGTTCATTTTTTAATTAGGTTTTTCCAGGAGCTTTCTGAAGCCCCCTCATATTTGTATTATATAGGTGCCAATCTTATCCCAGTTACCACAGTCAGTTTTCAGATGTGCCTCTACATTAGACTGGGTGCTCCGTAAGATTAGAGACCACCTCTCCATTGTTCCCCCTTTGTTCTCAAGAGGTATCTTACTTCGCCTCTCTCAACCTTTAGGGTCCAGTAACTTGACTTTGCCTGCAGCACCCAACACTGGTTCCACCTGTGTATTTAAACAGTGTGTTGTTGTTGTTAAGTGCCTTCGAGTCTGTTCCGACCCATAGCGACCCTGTACAGGGTTTCCGAGGGTGTAAATCTTTACGGGAGTAGAAAGCCTCATCTTTCTCCCGCGGAGCGGCTGGTAGTTTCGAACCGCTGACCTTAAAGTTCGCAGCCCGATTCGTAACCACTACGCTACCAGAGCTCCTTATTTAAACAGTGTACCTCTGCCCAAATCTTTTCAGTTTCTCATTACAAGTATTTTTCCTTTAGCGGCTCAGTTTATGTGTCACCCACTTTAGGAAGCCTCCTCCAGGCTCCACTTGCCTGAAATAATTGTTTCACTGTGGCAACTACCTGTTTAACTGCCTCTCTCCCCAACCACAGTATGAAGACAGGAATCAAGTCATATTCAATCCACTTCTCTACCCATACAACCTATGCAGGACCTATGTAGTGCTTGATGAATAGAAAGAATGAGAAAAAGTATATGGTTTATTCAAATTTTTGTGAACTCCTTCAGAAGCATATAAGAGTCAGTGTAGGCCAGTGCTGGGAGCCGACCCCCTGTTGCCGTTTGACACAGTCCCAGAAAAGGAGAGACATCAGCACGACAGATGGCTTTTGGGAAAGCACCCTTTATCTATCTTCTTTAGGATGGTTCTGATTCCACCCTATGAATAGAGTCTTGTATAGGTTAAAAAATAGGTAACTGGAGGGGAGTGTGGGGTAAGAGAATTAACAAATAATTATAACTTGTAACAGGAAAAGAATTTAAATTAAGATGTTAAGAGTAGAAATGACCTTTACAAAGAACAGGAAAAAACAGTTTGTCACCTATGAGAGTGGGAAGAACAGGGAAGAAAGTTGTGGTTTATGAACTTCAGAAATGAAGGTTACATAGATTCCATGAGATTCATATTAGACATTATATAAGGATATAGGAAAAGAATGTAGTTAAAGGTTTAAAAGGTGGAAATGATCTGTGTAAAGTTCAACTTGACCTTTTAGTAGGAATAAGAAAAACAATGTATCACTTACGTAGAAAAGGAGATGATGTCAGGAAAAAAAATGCTTAATGGTCAGAAAATGAACAGGATATGGAAAGATCAAGTGGGACATTATAGAAATACTTTTGTTAAGATTTTATAATCATAAGGTAAAAGAATGATATAATTAAAAATGTGTAGTACTTCAAAGAAAAATATCAATGTATCAGATCATTATGCATTGTGTAACTTTATAAATAAAGACTGTTGCTAGCCAGGGCAGAGTGAACTCCATCAACCAACTAAGCGGAGACTCCTCGATTACTTTCACTTTCGCCGACTCCAAGTCTCCTCTCGAGTCTCACGACCCTGCGAGAGCTGGACTCCTGCAGGCCAGTGCTGTCCAAAAGAACTTTCTGTGATGATGGAAATGTTCTATCACTGAGCTGGCCCCTCATGTAGTGATTTAAGCACTGAGAATATGAATAGGGTGAATGACAAACAACTATTTTAATTATCTTAAATTTAAATTTAATTTTGTTTAGTAGCTATGATACTGGACAGTGCAGGCCTACATCAGTGGCTCTTAACTGGGGGAACGGGAGAGGACAACTCTGGCCCCACAGGGGACATCTGTCAAATGTCTGGAGAGATTTTTAGTTGCTACAATTGGAGAGGAAAAGGTTACTAACATCTAGTTAGTTGAGGCCAGGGGTGATGCTAAACATCCTCCAATGCACAGGATACCCCAACTTTCAACAAAGAATTATACAACTCAAAATGCCAACAATGCCAAGGTTGAGAAATGTTGGTCTAGACTATATAGTACCTGCACTTTGACAAGGGCAGTTCCTCAACTACAGTCCAGTCACTGAAATTGGCCAGAATTTCTTATCTACTTCCAGGAGGGCAGACTGGGCTCAGAATGGCCTCAGGGAAACTCCTAAGTCCTTTTCCCCATCAGTCAATCAGCAAACATTTACTAAGCCAGTATGTGCTGAGTCCTCGTGCCAGGGCCAGAACAGTCCTTTCCTCAGGGAAGGACTGCCTGCCCTCCCTCCATCCCAGCTCCTTCATGTTTCTTGGCAGAAGAGCTGGGGGTTGACACCAAAGGTGTCAAAGGTCAGAGGAGTGATTTATTAGTCTTTCTATGTGTCTGGTCCCATGTGCTCTCAACTGCTTCCTTCATCCTCATAGGCGATGGCAATTCCTCGTCTTCCACTCACAGCTCCTGTCACTGGTGTCTGACCCAGGCGGGGCTCCAGTCCCTGCCAGCTCCGGGTACTGAGGAACAAAGCTGCAGGGGAAGGGAGCACAGGCTGAGTGGGCTGAATCTGAGGGAAGAGTTCAGCAGGGGGTGAGACTTGGCATACTCACCTGCAGGGCTACTCTCAGCCAGTTCCAGTTGAGGCCGCGGACTCAGGGCTGAACACTCAGGGGCATTTGATGGCTTCCGGGCAGGTGGAGGCCGGAGCTCACCAGTAATGAGTGACATATCTGGAGTGTCCCACAGTTCTGAGTCAGGTGGTGGGAGGGGTACATGGAAGGGAGAGCCTGGAAGGAAGGGGTGAAGAGGATGCATATTGGCTCCTCCACCCCCATTCCACGTTTCCAGTTCAGGTAGTGCCCTACCACTCACCAGGCAGCAAGTCCGCGTAATGTGTGAGGTGGGGGGACAGTCCTGGAGGAGGCCAAGCAGGATTGCAGGCAGCCTCCAGCTCACATGGTGCCAACACTGGTCTGAAGAAGCCACCAGAAGGCTGGGGGGCCAAAGCGCCCAAAGGACAGGCCAAAAGCACAAAGACATCCACCTCAGGGAAGTTGGCAAGTTTGGCAGGGGTGGGCCGCCCCAGGGCCAACACATAGCTTCGCTTACCAGCAGCCTGAGTTAAGTTCCGAATGTGTGCCAGGGCCTCACGGTATCGGGCCACACCCAATGTGCCTGCCAGCACTCCCACTACACGGGCATCTCTGGCCTTCTCCACCAGGTAGTGTCTGCGTGCCCTTAGCCTCCCAGCCCGAACACTCTCATCCTGAGACTGTCCTGTGTCTGGACAGCAAGAGTAGAAGGGTTTCCCTGGAGCCCAGCCCAAGAGCAGTCGACTCAGATCTGGGTCAAGATCAGGGCTAGGGCTGGCCTCAGAGCCTCCCACATAGAAGGCACCAAACTCTTCCAGGCACCTTCCTGGGGCTAAGGGGAAGCGTCGTCCAAAACGCTCCAAGGGCTCAGGCTCTGAGTTGAGGAAGTCTGTTGGTAAGGGGAGAGCTGGGCTGGAGACAAGCAGGTCCAGGTACCGTGGGCGCAGCAGAGTAGCCAAGGCCTCTTGAGAAGGAGAGAAGGTGGTATCAGGGGTGGGGTCTGTCAGAGTAGGAGTTCCTCCATCCCTAGGAGACTGAATGTGACCCAGAAGCATCAGCTGGGACCAATTCCCCCAAAATGGGGAAATGAAGGCACCAAGGAGCTGGTCCACCCTTCTTGCATAAATAACCCCTCACCTAGGGCGTGGGCGCAAGCTGGCTCACTCAGCAGCACCATGGGAGCTGTGGGGTCCGGACTCAGGGCCTCAAAGGCCTTGGCACAGAGCTCCAAGGCCACAGAGCGCTGACCAAGGATGAAGGTGACAGGCAGAGGGCGGGCTGGGGGGCTCAAGCAGGCAGGGCCAAAATGTACAAGAGCCTGAGCTCCAGCTTGCTCAGCACCTAGCACGTCCACACAGCAGCTGCAGGGAAGAGACCAGCAGTGAGAGGGGTTCCTATTAGGAAGAGAGTTACTGTCATCAATGAGAAAGTGGTCAGTAAAGACAATGATGTTGCGGACGATAGCGTACAAACGAACATTGTCCTGGATCCCTCACCCTGTCCTCAAGCAAGCCCCCAAGTTCACACCTGCCATAGGCTGTGTCTCCCAGAATGAACATCTTGGACCCCGTGATCTCCTCCAGTCGTGTAGCCACGGCCCCAGCATCTCCCAGAAGCTGATCCGGGAATTGTAAGGCCACCTGTAAGCATAACCATGGAGTCAGGAGGGCCTTACCCACCCTCTCCACCCCACCCCTAGTACCCAGGAGCTCTTTACCAGGAAATCTTCGGGTGGTCCCACTTCCAAAGGAGTACTCCCACCTCCCACGAGCCCTCATACTCACGAGCCCCCATTTTCGGAGCGACCCAAACCCAAAGATGAGCCCCCTCTAAGTCTGCCCTCACCCGCTGACACCCTAGGTCACGGACAAATCCAACGACTCGCTCCAGCTCATACACTCGATCCAAGTCCGTGAGAGGAGTGAGCAGGTCCGCGGCGCCCGCCTCCCGCTGCAACACCGCCTCCGCTGGGCTGCTGAACGTAGATTCCATGAGGAGCAGTTTAGGGGCGAGATGTCCTGGGGGCCGCTTTCGGTCAGTTTCAAGGCCCGGATGCTCTAAACAGTTTTCACCGGGTCACTGTCGTATCAGTGGGAGAATCAGTCTCACAGGATACCGTGGGTCATCCACCCAAATACCATTTCTTCACTACATGTGGGCCTATCCGGAAGATTACTTGTTGAGGCGGGGCTGACAGCAATTTCCCCAATCCTAAACCAGCATTGCTCCCGCCCTCCAATCTTCGCCGCCACACAGCCTACAGAGCACCAATGATCTGGCCCAGAGTCTGAGGTCCGACGGAAGTGCGTTCACAGGAAGGCGCGGCGCCTTATGGGTGTTGTAGTCTTCCTGGGGCTTCTCTCAAGGGGCTGCGTCGGATTCAGCTGGTCTCTGGTCGTCAGGGGCACGTGCGACTCCCTGAAAACAACTGTTTCCATTTGAGCAGCGAGACTGTAAAGCCGTTTGAACTGCAAGGTCGACAGTTCAGGCTCATCAGCTGCTCCTTGGAAACCCTATAACAGGGTCGCTATGGGTCGGAATCGACCATATTACATGGTCGATTAACAACAACATGCACTAACAACATGCACTAACACTATTACACACTTCATATGCACGCTATCATCTGGGAGGTGTTATTAAGTGCCGTCAAGTCAGTGCCTACTCATAGAGATCATGTAGGGTATGCGGAGAGGCTGGTGAGTTTGAACTGCCAACCTTGTGGTTCAAACCGATCTTAAGTTCAGTGCTTACCTTATAGCACCTCACCAGAAAATGGTGGTGGTGGTGGTGAAGTGCCCTGGAGTCGGTTCCGATTCATAGCGATTTTCGAGGCTGTAAATCCTTAAGGGAGCAGAAAGTCTCATCTTTCTCCCACGGAAAAGCTATTAGTTTGAACTGCTGACGTTGAGGTTCGCGGCCCTATTCATAACCACTACACTACCAGAGGTCCTTAGCATTGCATAAATTTAAAATTGGGTGCCAAACTTTGGGGGTCTGAATATGGTTTGGTTCAGCCACTTATTATCTTTACAAAGTTGCTTAATTTCTCTGCGCCCGTTTGTTCATCTGCAGAATGGGAGGGAGTTGTAACGATACAACTTTCTAATAAAATTGTTGTGAGGATCAATCCCTGAGTCACATGTACTCTGGGTTTGCCGTTAATCTTCACAACAATTAGTAGACAATGAGCACTTCTGTTCATCAGGCTCCACACTCTTTGGAGACTAGTCTTTGATGTAAGATTCATCCTAATTCATAGATGAGAAGTCTCCTAATTTACAAAGAGGTTAACTACCTGTCATAAGAAGACACCCAAGGCAGTAGAAGCACTATCTGAACCCAAGCCAAGCCAGGTCTATCTGATTTAAGAAGAGGAGCTTTAGACCTCTGGTTCTCCTAGCTTATTTTATATGTTATGCTCAGCAGGGGAAGAGGAAGAGACACCTGGATACCAAGTAGTAGGAATAAAGGACTAAAAGTCTGAAACATCTCCACATCTCTCAAGAGAAGTGAGAAATTGAGAGTAAAGTTGAGAATGGAAATGAGGAGGGGTAGAGGAAATGGGACAGGGTAATTTCAAAGGATGACAGATGACTGATGCTGACTAGCCTGGGAGAAATTGAACAAGGAGGAAGAGTGGAGGGCATGGAACTTGTAGAAAGAAAGGTAAGAAGAGTGGGTGAATGTAGGAGTGACCAGTTTCCCCACAACCTCCAAAGGGACTCAAGACTCATAGGTGGAAGTGGGAAGAACTCCATTATGCTCTTCAGTACTGGGGTTCCTGAAAGGTAGGCAGAATTATGGCCAAGGAGACAGAGAGGAGGCAACCCTGGAGAGGACAAGCAGCTCAGGAGCTGTCCCTGGTCCTGGCCAATCCCATCTCATTCTGTGCTGGATAGTGTGGAGTTGATGGGACAAAAGACACTAGCTCTCCTGCCTTCTTCCTCCTCTGGGACTCATGATGCCTCCCCATCCCCAAACGCAATTCCACTTTCTATGGTTCTTTTCAACTAAGTGCAAGTGTAGGTGCCTCTTCACTCACACACCAGAAACTCATCCTGAAATCAAAGCTCCACTTGTCATCTCCCAATTGAACTATTTCCAGCCCAGGTGTTGGCACAGACCTTTGCCTTATTTTAAAACCTTCCATTCCCAAGAACAAGGAAAACAGAGGAACACTTAGGTAGGTTCACATGGGCTAAATGAGACAGAGATAAATAGTGATATATACTTAACCTTGGAACAACAGGGCTCTGTGACACAGAGATTGAGGCATAGTCTGAATGGGTAAAAAAAGGGAAATAATGATACAATGCTTGACTGTCTTATGGATATTAATTTCCCTTGCCTATTATTATTGCAAAGGAGTTCTGGTGTGGTACTGTGGATTAATGCACCAGACTGCAAAGCCATTTGAACTGCAAGGTCGGCAGTTCAAACTCACTAGCTGCTCCTTGGAAACCCTATACAGGGTTGCTATGGGTTGGAATCAACTCAATGGCACTCAACAACTATTGCAAAATAGACATTTGGGTGGGATAGAAAGTAGTATCAGGAAACATGATTACAGAAAGTTTGTAAGCTGGTCTTCAGCCTATAATGGATGGGACTACCTAAAAGGGGTTCTAGAACTTGCCCAGTGAAATAGGCTTCTTGTGGAGGAGCCTTGTGTAGGACCTTAGGCAGAATCCTGAGCCCCATCCAGAACCTTCTCAGGTGGGACATTCCCACTTGAAAAGACATGCAGACCCTCCTGGAGTGGCTAGAGGATCAGAAGACACTTCTTGAAAGAAAGACCAGCAGGAAAAAATAAAAACAAAAATGGCAGGCTGTTTGGCTATTACAAGAACAAGTAAGCTGTTTGTATGGGAGCCATCAAGGCAAGCAATCAAGTCCCTTCAGGACAAACCCCCTTCCAAGACTGAAAGTCAAAGGGAAAACACAAGAAGACATGTTAAGCTTGCTGGTGATCGTGTTGGTCTACTTGTGAGTGGAAGTGGAGGAAAGACATGAAGACATGGGCTGAATCTGACCATGTTCCATAGACTCCTGTCAACACTGAGATGAGAGAGAGAAGAGGAAGGGCTGGTTAGTCCGAAGTTTGGGGAGACTTGGGAACTCCTGAACCCATGGTGGGCTAGAGCTAAGAGTGTAGCATCCAGCTGATATGAAGGGGGGGGGGGGCGGAATGAGCAAGAATGCCCAAAACTAGAAGATAAAGTTTGATACAGGAAGCAAGTGTAAATTTCTACAACTTGATGAACTTGACCTATGCTTATGGATGTAGTAGCTCAAAATAAAACCAAGAGAGATGGAGTTTTCACATCAAGTACCAATCCTATCCCCTCTGTATACAGGGTAGATAGGGACAGACTACTTAGACACTGGCTAACTAAAATGGGGAGGGGCTATAAAGGCACAAAGTGACTGGCTTACAAGGTTTCAAGAGGGAGTTTAGTTTCAGAGTGTGTGGGGAAAGTAGAATCCCCACTAAATACTTTTCATCTTATCTAGATGGGTTTGGTGAAACAAGATGGGGATAAGATTCTTATGATTCAACAGTGAGTAATTGTTATGACTAATTGCAACTGTCACAACTGTAAAGATAGAAGTTTTGTAACAAAAAGGGGGGAGTAGTTAATCTTACAGTCCAGAAACAGAGAACCCTAGGGCCATCAAGGGAGAAGATCACTTAGCAGAATGTGGGACCCTATCCAGAGAAGCAGCAACACCATAGATGGAGGCAAAGATGAGGACATGGAGAGATAGAGCAGCTGAAGACTAGATTCATGGAAAGAGAAAGGCTGTGTGCTGGCAGCCAGGAGGCAGACTTGCAGAATGTGCCCCTTAGTTGTTTAAATGATTATATATTCCGAAGTGCTTTTTTGTACAACCCCCACCCCCCCAAAAAAAAAAAAAAACAGAGGGAATAGAAGCAAATACTGTTGAATGACGATGCACGGAGGAGACTGTAATCATAGCAATGAAACGAGTGAAAAACCGATGCTCTCCCATGTGAACTATCACTCAATTCACAATAAAAACTCAACAAAAAAACTAAAAGTTAGCAAGCCATTTATGACAGGGGAAAAACAGAGACATTTTCAAAAAGAAAAAAAAATCAATAAAAACCAACTCTTAATTGACAAAAAAAAAGAAAAAGTGAAGGAGTCTTCACATCAAGGACCAAGTCTATCCCCTCAGTACACAGAGTTGATAGGGACGGGCAACTTAGACATTGTCTACCTAAAATGGGGGGGGGTGGGGCCATAAAGGCATGAAGTGGCTGGCTTACAAGTTTTCAAGAGGGGGTTTAGTTTCAGAGTGTGCAAGGGGAGGTAGAATCCCCACTGAATAGCTTTCATCTTGTCTTGATGGGTCTGGTGAAAGAAGATGGGGATAGGATTCTTTTGATTCAATAATAATTGTTATCATGACTAACTGCGATTGTCACAGTTGTAATGCTAGTTTTATAACAAAAAGGGGGGAGTAGTTACTCTTACATTCCAGGAAGTGGACCCTATGACCAACAAGAGAGAAGAGCATGAGTGGGAACATGGGACCCTAACCAGTGAAGCAGTGACACCAGAGATGGAGACAGAGGTAGGTAATGGCATGGAGAGACAGAGCAGCTGAGGACTCTAGACTCATAGAAAGAGAAAGGCTGTGTGCTGGTGGGTAGAAGGCTGAGTTGCAAAACATGCCCTTTGGCTTGACCTATGCTATGGATGCAGTGTGACAAAGGAGGAGCAAATCTTTACAGTGAGGATCATTCCCACCCCCTTGGTACACAGGGTCAACAGGGAGGGGGAACTTAAGACACTGGATACCCAAAATGAGGGTACTAAGTCCTGGTGTGGCGCTGTGGGCTAATGCGCCAGATTGCAAAGCCGGTGAACTGCAAGGTCAGTGGTTCAAGCTCACCAGTTGCTCCTTGGAAACCCTATACAGGGTCGCTATGGGTCAGAATCGACTCGACGGCACTTAAC